GGGAAAGGGGGAAGGGGGGGAGAGAGGATGGGAGGAAGGGAAGAAAGAGAAAAGGAGGGGGGATGAGGATGATGAAAGAGGAAGGCAGGAAGGGAGGAAGGGGGAATGAAGAACAAACCAAGCGACAATCTCAGTCAGGTACCGCAGAGTACGCCTGTAATCCCAACACTCGGAAGGCCGAGGCAGGAACAATGTCATGAGTTGGAGGCTGGCGTGGGCTACAGAGTGAGACCCTATCTCAGAAATACCAAAAAGAAACAAGCAAATCAAATAGTAACAAAAACCAGAAACCTCAAGAGTACTGGGAATAATCCATGTACAATTCCTATCTACTGAATGAATATTTAAGGAAGGAGATTCTCTTTTTCCTCCACACTCGGTACCAAAGAGACTAAGGTACTAATTTTCAAGATGATCCTTGCCGGGGATTTAGTTCAGTGTTTCCACCATTTGCCTCACAAGCGCAAGGGCCCGAGTTCAATCCCCAGTACCAAAAAAAAAGGATCCTTCATTTCCTGATGTACAATTCCTTAAATCATACGTGATTTAGGTGACTATCTACAAATACAGATTATTTATATGTGGAAAGGTACCTTTCCAACAAAAATTCTCAAAGTAAGATACCAAACAACATTAACAACAAACTCTCATAGGCAATTAGCTCTTAATTAACTTAACATTTTAAAATACTGTAAACTGAGCATGGTAGGGCATGCCCATGGCAGGCAGAGGCAGAAGGATCACTCACTGCAAGTCCAAGGACAGCTTGGGCTACATAGGGAGTCCCTCAAAAGAGGCCTGAACCTCATAGCAAGACCCTGCCTCAAAAACAACAAAAAGGTGGGCATGGTGGTGCAGGCCTATAATCCCAGCACTCGGGAGGCTGAGGCAGGAGGATCCGCTGTGAGTTCAAGACCAGCCTGAACTACACAGTGAGTTCCAGGTCAGTTTCAACTACAAAGAGAGACCCTGTCTCAAAAAAAGCAAAAAAAACAAAACAAAAAAGATTAAGAAAATCAGTTAATTATGATAACCAAGAAAGAGAGAATATTCAAGATAAGTGCAGTGGTGCATGCCTGTAACCCCAAGCTGAAGCAAGACTATCGTCACTTGTTCCAGTTTGAGGCTAGCCTGAGCTACATATAGTGAGTTCAAAGCCACTGACAGGTTCTATCTCCAAAGGAAGACTCAAATTACTAAAATCAAAGAATGGGAGAGGCCAATACTACCAACTTTACAGAAATGAAAAAAGAGCGGGGTGTGACAGCGCATATGCACAACCAAAGCACTCAGAGGCTGAGGCAGAAGGATGGCAACGTCAAGCCCATCCTGGGCAACTTAGCAAGACCCTGTTTGAAAATAATAAAAGTGGTTAGGGATATAGCTCAGCAGCACCATGAATTTGATCCCCAGGAGGCGCTTTGAGACTTTGTTAATACATGAAGTCATTTTACTATCTTTCTTTCTTTTTTTTTTTGGTACCAGGGATCAAACTTGGGTCCTTGAGCTTGAGAGAAAGGCTGTGGAACCACTGAGCTACATCTCCAGCCCATCATTTTAGTGTCTTTATAAAACATTTCATTAACACATTTTTCTGATTAAAAATTAGTAAGTAGGACTGGGGTTTAGCTCAGTGGCACTGCTCCGTCCTTGCAATTCACAAAGTTCTGAGTTTGATCCCCAGTACTGAAAAAAATCAGTAACTGCACTATAGAAAATTCTCATTCCAGGATTTAAAACTGTCCACGGTCTAATTCTTTTTTGTTTGTTTGTTTGTTTTGTTACCCGGGATCAAACTCGGGACCTTGCACTTGTGAGGCAGGCAGTGGAACCACTGAGCTAAATGAATCACTGACATCCACAGTCTAATTCTTGGCCACTTTTATAAAGCTTCCAGATTTTATGGCTGTGAAAACAGCCTGCACACCTTCAGATCCAAGTCTTTACTTTAATTAGTCCCTCTAACTAGACTGGCCTGCCTTCTATCCACTTCCAAATACATTTCCAAGTTTGCTACATATAACACACTTCTTCTAATGAATCTTCCAAAATGGCTCTGCCACTAAAATCACTCTTTTCCCCAACCATTTCTTTGTATCACTTTTGGCATTTAATACTTACCTTATATTAGAATTACTGCATTTAGTGTTATTCTATCTCTACTCCCTTCTTACTCCCACATTATAAGCCTCTGGAGAGCAATAAATACAGCTGTCGGGCTGGGGATTTAGCTCAGTGGTACCACGTCTGCTAGTCTGCCTTGCAAGTGGAAGGTCCTGAGTTCTATCCCCGGTACGAGGGGTGGGGGAGCGAAAGTGAGCTGTCCTTGAACTTCCCTTTCTCTCCTTTCCTTCAAGGGCTTAACCTCATCATTAGCATCAAAACAGATGTTCAAAACGCTTTGTAATTCTGTAAGATCATTACTGTAGCGTGACTGGCACAAGAGCCAAGTGAAAATACTCACTAAAGACTGGGTTTTTGGAATATGATGTCACTCATCTTTTCCTATCCACAGATAGCCTCCGAATCCTTCTCTAAGATTTCTGGTTAAGTCTTCTTTTCTCCATATCCAATATATTTTATTACTCCAGTAAAAGCATTAATAATGAAACTAAGTGAATTCTACTATTTTAAGGCATTTTTCTAAGTCTTTACCTGAAAGGAAAATATATACCCAACACATATATACAGAAATGATCAATTACTATCTTGTCTAAATGCTGTTCTCACAAATATTCACCAAATATAAATAAAAATTTGCCTCTTCTGGAAGGATTTATAATACACATAAGGTACAATGTTAACACTGAAGTTTAGTTAACATTGAAGTTCATTCAGCAACTAATCATCATACAAAAAAATGTATACATCAGGAAAAGAAAAACTTGTATAAATACTTTGATACTAAATTTACTGAGATATTATGAGATTAATACAAATTACCTTAGGCCTCTGCAACTACCATAGATGCTCACAGGGGTGGCTATTAGCTTCCAGACATTTATGAGCATGGTGAACTGCTGAAATGGGTATACATTTTTTTGGCAGACTCTGTAGTTAGTCCAGGAGGACAAACCTTTTAGAGATGAGTTCCCAAACTGCAGCCTCAAACTCACTTACTCTTCACAAAGC